CTCCCCCCCCCCTGGAGCCGGCGGTCCCCGCGTGACTTTTGGGTCACGCCTCGGGCCTCTGGCGGCCGTTCGGGACGAGGCGGGCCCCCCGCGGGAACGCTGTCTGCGAGGCGCAGCCGCTGGAGAGCAGCCGGAGGCTGGAATGCCGCGGAGAACCGGCGGCACTGTCCGACGACGTTGGGGGGCCACATGCGAACCCCAACGCTCGGGAGCTCCCGAGCGAAGGGAACCCGAAACGTTTTGCACACGGCACGTGCTGCGTTTCATCACGGGCGTACCAGGGCAGCTGAGAGCACTGGCGATACCACGACCGCGCCGAGGAACCGGGCCCCCCCCTGGACCCCCCCCAGCCCGGCCCAGGAGCCCCAAAGACGCCCAACACTGCCCCCACCCCACCCCTCCGCAGCCATTTTGGCTCAAGCCGCTGAGCATTCGCCCCCGAGCTTCGCGCCACGTGCCCCCTGCCGCGCGCCTGCTGGCCCATCGCCATGTGCGTGGACTCGCCCGTCACGCGGCTGCCGACGCCCCCCCACGGGCGCGCCCAGCCGAGCGGGCCCGACGGGTGGGCCCCCGCCCGCGGCACGGGAGCGACGGAGGCCGACCAGGGAGCGGGAGCGCACGACCTCGACGCGAGGTGGCCCATTGACGACCCCGACGACCCCGACGAGGGGGCCCTGACGAGGCGCTTTGGCGCGGCCTCGGGGCCCGGCGGCGCAGGGCCCGGGCAGAGCGAGCGGCCCCTGGCCGAGCCCGGCATCCTCCGGCGGCGCGGCGGCAGGCTGCTGGGGCTGGCGGCGATGGTCGACGTCGCGGCCTCGGCGCCAGAGCCGCTCGGGTCCCCTACCAGCTTCGCGTTGCGATACCCCTCGAGTTCCGTGCTACCCCGCCTTGCGCCCGACAGTCCCGAGGCCGCGCCCGCGGCGGCCGCGCGCGGCGCCGCCGGGCGCGGGGCCGCCCGGGCGCCGCCATCGCAGCAGCTGCCGGCGCTCGTCGCCCCCGCGGCGGCCGAGGAGGGCCTGGGCGCGTGCGCCGACAGGCGGGCGCTGCTCGGGGTGAGGAGCGGTGTTGACATGGGCGCCACGGGAGACGTTCGAGATGGCCAGCCGAGGCACGTCAGTTTCTCGACGTCGCCCCTGGACGGCGTCTACGACGTGACGCCATACGCCAGAAAGTACGGCGTCCACCCGAGTTTCTTCGACTTCGACCGAAAAGGTGAGATGAAGCTCACCGAGGAGGGCGTCCTGGAGGACCTGAGGCGGACGGGGGAGTGCCGCCAGCGTCTGAAGCTGAGCGGGGAGGCGATGCTGTGAGGAATCATTGCGCCGCTTGCGTCGACGACGACGACGACGACGACAACGACGGCGACGACGACGACGACGGCGCTTTCGGCACAATTTGTGGAATTGCATCGATGTGCCACCTCCTCGCCCCTCGTGGTCGCTCGCATCTTCCCCAGGCCTCTGCTACAGAGGGGGCCCATGCCAAGAGACACCCTGCTTGCCTCCATCAGGGCTGGGTTGCTTGTGGAAGGTTTCTTGTGGTCGGGCCCCCACTGTGCATCACATTTTGTTGTTCGCGAGCGCGGCCAGTCGGGTAAAACGCCGCTGGTGGGGCGGAGCCACGCCTGAAATGCTGCACAAGCCCAACTACACTGCTAGCTGCCAGAAGCTCCAATAGCGGAATTCGTCACCCAGATTGTACGTCTCAGGTTTTTGTTCGCCTCGGTGTGCACCATAGACGCGTTAACGGTGTGTTAGCTATCGGCGATGTATGAGCTCGGCATCAGAACAACCATCAGGAGGAACGGACGGGAGTGGAGTTGAGGATGAGCAAGTATCCGCTCGAGTGTTTATCGACATGTATGTGGTGCGCTTCGTTTATGTAGAGCTACGGATTTTTCGTTCCAACTTTTCTTAGCGTCCAGGCATACCACAAGAGTGCATGTTCGTGCTGAGGGCCTGCCAGGAGGAGACTCTACTTTATCCGCAGACGTAAGTATCTTTTATGAAAGAGCGCGATCTGTGGAAGCTGAGAAGGGGGGGTCGATGCAAGGCGGTGTAGATCTGCTTGGAGGTAGTTCACACTAATCGGCATGTCCGCCAGCGCCGATCTGCGCATAGCAGGCAGCGTTGCAACCACTACACGGATGCAGTCCGACTGCCCGTGCACTTCCTACCCCTGCTCTCTCTCTCTCTCTCTCTCCTCTGCACCTCTCTCCCCTTTCTCACCTCCCCCGCTCCTCGAGCCCTCCTCCACCATAGCAGGCCTTGGCAGACCCTGAGGTCAGGGATTCTGCGACAGGCGCGGCGAAACCGCATTTGCATCGGAAGCGCGTTTTGACCTGAGCTCGACAGGCGGTCCTCTGCTCATGCAGCTTGCACTGCCTGGATTCCCTGATGCTCCTCGGCGTCTGTGCGGTGCTGCCCGCTGCCGTGCGGCCTGTGTGGGCGCGGTGCCCACCGCCGCGCCGAGGCGGTGCTGGCGCTGCCGGCACGGGGGGGGAGGGACGGGGGGAGGGCCAGAGCATAGACCTCCCAGGGGAGGGTGGCGGTGCAGGCCTCACTACTGCGAGCCAACTCTGTTGTACACGGGCACCTCCCTTGAAGGCACATTGGACACTCGTCCGCGGGTGTGATTTGTTTTTGCGACGTACTGTATGCCATTGATGGTAACCAGAGTGGTCTCTGGTCCCCTGAGCCGCAGACGTGCACCTAGCAAGCGTGAAAGATGCAGTTGGTGCAACGCGCGTAGGCAGGACAACGCACGCAGCTAAGTCCTGGCGGCCTCCCGTTGACCATACGTTGGACGCCGCGGCCGTTTAAGACACTTTCGGCCGCCAATGTTGCCCAGGTTGTGCTGAGGGCGCGAGCTGGGGGGGGAACAAGGAATGCAGGAGACGGAGGAAAAGGCTCACGCAGAGGCCCGGGAGCTGGTCGAGGGCCCGCTGGCCTCGCCCGTGGCCCTGCCGAGCACGGCGGGTGCACGCATGCCTCCCGCGGCCGCGTTTCATGCTGTGCACTCCTCGGGATTCGCCCACTTTGGGAGGGGAGGGGAGAGAGAGAGAGAGAGAGATCACGCAGGACGAGCGAGGAATTGGAGGACGTGGAAAGAAGGGTGTGGGTGGGTGGGTGGGTGTGGTGTCCACCGTCGCTCATCACTCACTTCTGGCACCTCCTGCGTCCTTGAAGTACCGCGCCAGTGGGGATAGGGATCGGTTAAACGATGCTCAGTTTGCCTCCTCCTGCTCCTCCCCGAGCCGACGGTCGGGGAGCGCGCTGTCGGCGTGCGGCCCCGCGGGCTCGGAGGAGCAATGCCTTGTGGTGCAGGGTGCCGCGAGGATCGATGCTAGCCGCAGGGGAAAAGTGCTGCTGTTGTCCCCCCCCCCTCCCCCCCCTCTTTTCCAATGGCACCCACCCTTATTCCCACTCGTCCTCCTCCCGTCCTCCTGTCGTCCTCCTGTCCTCCTCTCTATTTAGAGTTGACGCTGGCTGATATTTGCCTCCTCCTGCTCCTCCCCGAGCCGACGGTCGGGGAGCGCGCTGTCGGCGTGCGCCCCGCGGGCTCGGAGGAGCAATGCCTTGTGGTGCAGGGTGCCGCGAGGGTCGATCCCAGCCGCAGGGGAACAGTGCTGCTGTTGTTCTGCAGATTTTGCACGTGCGGGCTCCTCGACACGAGGTTCGTTGATCGCCCCAAGTGCTCCGCAGCCACGCTCCTTCATGTGCTACTTTTGTAGTCCAACACGCGGATATCAGGGCGCCCGAACAGCGCGGGAAGGCCTGACGAAGCATCCAGACTCTCCTTGCCATTATCTTTCATTGTTCAGCTGCGGGGAGTCTTCAGCGAGTCACTCGGTATGCCACTCGCGCATGGGCGTGTCAGGCTGCTGGGCCGACCTGCAGGTGAGCTCCGCTTGCGGACATCATTGCCTCTGTTCCCCAATTAGAGCTTGCCTCTGTGGGGGTCCTCGAGGATTCATATGATTAGGTTAGGTGCGCCGCCGATTTCGGAGGCACGCTCGCGTGCCCGGGTGCCCGGGTGCCTGGGTGCCCGGGTGCCCGGATGAGGTGCGCCGCCGATTTCCGTGGCCGGGTGCCCGGATGCTTTATAGCCCCATAGCCACATGGCCCTATAGCCCTATCGTGGCTGTCGTGAGCACTCTTTGGGGACAAGGCGTAGGTCATGCCAGAAACACTTGCTCCTTCGGAGGAGCGGTAGCTTGGAAGCCAAGAGTGGCCCATCACACTTTCTGCCACTGGCGTCTAAGAAAAAAATCAGTACGCGAGGTCTTTGACGGTGTTTTCGACCCCTGGGTTCCCTCACCGGGCCGCGGGGCCGTCAAAAACAACCCGGGCCGTGTGACCCACCCCACTCAGGGAAGGGACGGAAACAGCACAGGAGGAGGAAGAGGAGGAGCCCGCGAGGGACGGGCAGGATTTGTTTTCTATCCTTTTTGCGCAGCACGTCGTTACCGGGCGTACCGTCCCTCCCCCTCGCCCGGGCAACGGTAAAGGATCATGCCAAGGGCTGGACCGAAAACGCTGTTTTGCTGTGACTTCGGGCTGTGTTTGGTTTTTTCGTGTTGGCAGGGAGGTGCTTACAGGAAGACGTGTGGAGAAAAACGAAGAACCACATGAAAACGAAACGATACACAACGTTTAGGTCCAGCCCTGGATTATGCGTTTAGGGGGGGGGAGGGGACCCGCCCCTACATGCTGGTGCTCGCGCGCATACATTGGCGACCGTAGCACGCCCAGACCCCCGACGTCATGCT